AAAAATTGCCACGTGTGAGTGTTTTTTATTTTTAACCAGAAAATAAACAGCAATTTTAACGGTGTTCCAATAAGAATTCATTGGTCAAATTTTCACAGAATGTTCTTTAGATAAAAATCTATATAAAAAACGAAAAACACTATTTTTGATTAAAATTCACAAATAAACTGCATCTCTACCTTAATCAACTATTCTAAAATAATTTCCATTTGTATCCTATTGATTCATGCTCTTGAAAAAAAAATATTTTTACTACTGTGAATGTGTGTTGTCACTTCCTTGTATCTCTACATATATTTCAACTATATATGTACACTGCTTTTAATTTTCTGAAATATGTTCTTCATTGTATAGATGACAACAAGGTTTTGGCTTGGGGATGGAACGAACATGGATCTTGTGGAAATGGTAAGGAAGAAAATGTGTTAACACCACAAGTGATTGATGATCTTGCGAAAGAGAAGATTAGATTGATTGGTATTGGAGCAGCACATTGTTTTGCAGTGGCCAGTTGATGGTGTTGGTTTTGTACAGGTGTTGAATATGACACATGTCTTATTCAAATATTTTACATTTGTCATTGGTTGGTGCTGGTGCAGCATACTGTTTTTGCAGTGTCTGATGGCACTGGATGGCTTACTGGTGAACAATACACATGCTGTATTCAAATATTTCACATATATTTTTGATTGGTACTAGAACAACATACAATAGACATATGCTTATTCTGTATTCAAATATTTTACATCTGTGTTTAGTCGGTAATGTTGTAAATTATGAACAATGTACCTTGAATACAGTGTTTCTGACTGAAGGTACTTCATTTGACTACATGTACTAGAGCTTGTCTGAAATGGTTATACCTGTGACAGTACCACAGTTCGAGATGTGTACATCAACATGTGCCTCCTACAAATAAAGACTTCTTGTTGTTTTTTGATACTTAATACCAATTCGTAATACCAGCTCCGTAGTCCTGTGTTTTTAGCAGCATTTTTTTTTTGGAAGGATTTTTTTTTCACCCTCTCGCATCAGTTTTGGGGTCTCCAGAGGATGTCATCCATAAAATTAAATCAGTGTGGCCTAAATACAAAATATCACAAAATACATTTTTAGTAAAAAAAAACATTATCTTTTATGCCAGTTCAAATGTGAAACATAATCGACAATCAGTACAATACAATACTTGTTGATCGATATCTGGGTTAAAGTTCATCCATAACTGTAGTGTTTTATTTTCATCAACGTTTCAAATTTTAAAATAAAAAAGTAACATATCAATGAACACAGTTAATTGGGCCAACACATAACAACACAAGTTTGGATGCTATGGGGTTGTGCTGCCCATTTTACCTGCTAATATCTACTAAATTAACTTTTTTTACATTTAGAGTTGGGTTTAACAGTTCTGTCACTTCTGCTGATTATGATAGGCTGCGAAACACTTTCAAACATTACTGTTTGCGGGTTAATCTTAGTTGAAAAAATTGTGTCTTCAGGCATATCATCATGAATGATTGAAGGACATTCATCTTTACTATCTGGTGGAATTTCTTTGACGTGTTAGCGATTGTGTCTCGATCAGCAGTTGTCCATCAGGAGTTGCGATATTGTATGATCTTGATTAAGTATTTTGATTATGATTTTAGCTGCTATCAATTCTTTATTTTCTCTATTGATTCTGCCCCCTGAGGAGTTGATTTCCACGTATTCACCATGATAGTATTTCTTTACGTTTCATCAACGTGTCGTGTACAAATTCGTGGTCTTGTACTTTAGGGTCTAGCACTTTGGAGATTTCTGTTAATTGTGCACATTCTGTCATATAATATTTGTGATTGTAGTGCATGAGCACTTGGACTATCATGATATGCGAGAAGAGAAAGATTACGGATCTTTGCCTTAAGCTTTTTAATAATGTTTTATTTGCAGTCTGTAAAACCATTTGAACTTGGATAACGTGAACATTTTTAAATGTTTTATTACTAAATCTCCACTCATTAGCAACATATTGGAATTTGTTGCTACTGTGTCATGGGCCAGTAGTTGTTCGTGCATGCCATGGTGAACAAATATTTTCTTAATAGGGTGAATCACTGTGTGTGATATAGAATCTTCTAGCAGTTTTGAAGACGTAGTAAGAAACACAGGATTCTAGAAGGTGCTTTAATCACGGTTTGTTGACGATTGCTTCAAGTGGTCTGATTGAATTGTGAAACTACATGCTCATACAAGTACTGATACAATCTTTAAGACGCAAAACTAGTAGCTAGGGTCTCCTTTTCAAATTGAGCATAATTTTGTTTGGCCTGAGTTAATGCCCGAAAATCGAGCACACCACCAACAGATTTTGCTTAAAGCCATTCAGTATCTATCTGTAGTAGTACGTGCAGTGGAGTGGACATTGTCAACAGATTTGGAATGAATTTTTCAAAATAAGACCTTTCTTGTCTGTAGGATTCAGCATTTCAATAACTTACAGCTTTCACTTTATCAGCATCTGGCTTGCCTCCATGACCAGTCAGAATTAAACCAACGTACCTGATTTGGAACAATGTGATATTTTGACAGTTTAAGTCCATATTTCCATAGACGAGCGAGTACGGCTCGTATCACATTGATCTCTTGAACTTGCTTATACTATAAGTATACTAAAACTCATCTGATGCACTTGATATGCCAAATATAAAGCGTTAGAACCTGAATCTGCTTTTAATTTGCCAGAAATATTAATCTAATACAGGAAAAAGTAACCTAATAACTTTGCACTTATGTCGCCTATTGCTTGAAGATGTAATTGGTGGATGGAATGTAATATTGACAATCCAAGTTTACTCTCAGCTATGCTTCTTTTTTTGGTCAGCCTCGATTTCGTTCTGATTGCATGAACAGTGCCTGATTTCGGCTGCTTTGCATATGTCAGTTGTCTCAGAGTGTTAATTTGATCATGCGCTATAGTTGTTTCCCATTTTGATTATTCCTAATTCCTGGAATAATTCTGTCCAGAATGTAGACTTTCAGGGCACCAAAATCACATTATTTGATATTTTTGATCTTCCAAATCAGTCACTAAATTATCGACCATCTCCCTTGAATTAAATAAAATGCAATTATAATTTCTGATTAGGTGGTTGTATCTTATCTTTGTCATTTTCGGCGAAGGCATTAATTTCATAAATTCCAGTTTATTCATCACCAGTGCAATGTAGCAGCGTAGCGCACTGTGTGGCAGGGAAGGTTGCATATCATTTAAAGCATGGTTTCCATTTCTATCAGTTGAGCGCAGCATCATCGTCAAGTCTCTGGATTTTTTTGTTCAAACTATCCAACTTCTGACAAATGTAAGAAATGCACATGGACACTCAGGATTGCCATAACTTGTATTGGTTAATTTCAGTTCCCACAAGTCAAGAGATTTGATTTGATTGAGGCTTAGTCTTCAGGCTATAGTTCATGTGCCAATAGACAGCTTTCACTGGTAACAGTATTCTTTCCGCCTGTTGATCAGATCACTGATTGCATGGCTATGTACAATGAATGTGCTGTGCATGCTTGATCCCTTCACCACCAGTAGTGGTTTCAAGAATAGAGTATTTTGATATCTATACATAGATATCAACTTCATCATATGGGTCAGATCATGGTTTGCCTGATCTGGATGGCCTGCATATCAAGATAACTGATCCAGTGAAGTCAGGTACTTCGAATCACATAATCAAAAGTCACTATCGTGAGTTTACATCAAGGCTGTTCTAGCAAGCCAACTTCATTCAATTACTGGTCTTGTCCATTGCCTCTGGTTAAGCCATTCAGGATTAACGTCCTCGGTGTAAGCTATCGATATGCGAAATGTGTTGGTGTGTGGCTCCTGGAATAATAATGAAGATACACCTGCTTGATTTACTTTTGATGATACAATGCAGAAATTAATAAGCTGGATATATCATTATGACTACTTTAAAAGACTAATAATATTAAAAAGCCAGCTAAATGTCTACCTAATCACACAAATAGGAAGGCTGACAATAGGTATCAGGGAATGTAGATGTTCTGTTACTATAGAACTCGTAAACTCTGGATGGCCAAATCATCGTCAATAGAGCTCTGAAAAATAAATCTTATCAATCACATCAGCCATGGATTCTTGCTGCTTTCTTATAAAAGTTTTACCACTAGAATAGGTGAATAGTGTCTGAAATATTGAACTTGATATAATCAAATGCAAAAATACGTTTCCACACTCAATGTATATTTGATGATGTTCATTTTTTAAGTAATATTTTTTTTTAAGTAAGGGTATCTCAACGCCATCTTTCCCTCTGAAAGATCGGATTTCAATTAGACTATAAGAAATTGTAGCAGTCCCACGACACTATGACTGGACAAAAGTACTTTTGTGCCGAGGTCACCATTTACCTATGCCAGGGAATGGGTATTCATGGGTGCTCACTAAAACTAAGGACCCAACCGAAGGACTTAAACGGGTGTAATGACTATAAACCGCTGATACGAATAACTTGTTATACGTTGCATTTAATCGCAAATTATTCGGTAGCGATTAAAATTACAAATATACCTTGATAAATATATTACATGATAAATATAACGGCGAAGAACCACAATTATATAATAAATATGAGCGAAGGACCATGAGTACGTGGTAAATATGAGCAAAGGAACATTATATTATAAATATGAGCGAAGGACCACGATATTATAAATGTAAGGAAGGACCATGATTACATGGTAAATATGAGCAAATAACCACGATTATATTATAAATATGAGCAAAGGGCCACGATTATATTATAAATGTAAGCGAAGGACCATGATTACGTGGTAAATATGAGCAAAGGACCACGATTATATTATGAATATGAGCGAAGGACCATGATTGTATTATAAATATGAGCAAAGGGCCATGATTACGTGGTAAATATGAGCAAAGAACCACGATTATATTATGAATATGAGCGAAGGACCATGATTATATTTTAAATATGAGCAAAGGGCCACGATTATATTATAAATGTGAGCGAAGACCATGATTACGTGGTAAATATGAGCGAAGGACCACGATTATATTATAAATGTAAGCGAAGGACCATGATTACGTGGTAAATATGAGCGAAGGACCACGATTATATTCTAAATGTAAGCGAAAGACCATGATTACATGGTAAATATGAGCAAAGGACCACGAT